ATAATAATTATTACTAAAGTAAGACTAAATAACATCTTGTGAACTCCAAACAAAAATAAATTGCTCGTATTTATAGAAACGAATGAAATATTTTTTTTTCTATAAAGGCACTGATATAATAATGCAATTAGATGATGTTGTATGAAGTACACTAACCGGTCCAAGAGTTGAAGAAGCTATGTGGAGGTTTGTAATTGAATATATTTTTACTATCTATTATTTATTAAATAAGATTGTTATGATCGCTTGATCGGTTTATAGAAGCACATTCTTGTCCAGATGAACAAAGTGCTAAAGGTAAACTCTTTTTTTTATTGAATTCTTAAATTTATTCTTATAGAAATAATTAATCGTAATTGTCCCGGTTATGCAGTTGGTGGGGAAGATAAAGATCATTTTTGGTGTATGGTTACTCTTTCAATAGAATATTTAATGGGTGTTGGGTTTGTTGTTGATTGAATTGCAAAAATTAATTGTATTATTGATTATTTTTAAAACAATTCATAGTATTGCAATTGATGTTGTTATATGTTCCGCGCTTGGTTGTGATATTTTAATATAAAAAAGGTCATCGTTTAATTGATGATAGTTATACACGATCATATCTTAATACAATTGTTACAGAAGAAACAACTGCATATCATTTACTTACAATTCATAATGTTGCATATCAGGTTGAGAAAAATTCTTTTGAGAAAATATTATTTTTACACTTTTTTTGTTAATTTAAATGTAGATGAGATTAATATCTCGAATTCGACAAGCAATAAATGAATAACGTTTTTCAGAATTTATCGAATACTTTATTTCAATTTATTATCAAAAGAACTGAGCTGTAGGACATGATAACTTATTAGTTCGAATGGACTTTACAATAAAATATTTATCTAAATACGTCTAGATAAAAATAAATCATGAAGAAAGAAATTTTTTACCTGTATGCATTTTTATATTTACAAAAGTAATATTCGAGTTTGATCGTTACATCGATAAAAATGTGTATATAATACAAATTAGTCACACATATTCAGCTTTTCATTAATAAAAAATATTTGATTCTCTTCCGTTTTTACTATTTATTATACATTATTTTGAATAGAATTGAATCATTGATGGGAACGAAAATATCAAGACAACATTATCGAACAACTCTTGCACGTGATAATATTCCCCGTATTGCTAATCAAGAAGTTCAAAATTTTAATGAGATTTTTTCTTCGACGACTGCTGAAATATCTTTAGAACAAGAAAAGTCACATAATCATTTAGCAACAAAAAAACACTGTTATGATCCAAATATTCAAAAAGAAGCACTTAATATAAGAAAAAGTCAATCAACTGGAAATTTAGCAAGTGCAACCCTTGTTTTTACAGATCAACAATTATTAAATGATCAAAAAAAACAAACACATAGAAATAAGGCATCATCATCGCAAAATTCAAGAAGGGTTCATTCAGATTCGACAACAAGTTTCGATCAAATATCTTCTTCAAAATTGAAAAGAAAGAAAATTTCATATAATTCTCAACTTGATTTTATTGATTCAAAAGACTTAAAAGTAACTAATTTACAGATCAAAATTCCGAACTTTGTTAAGCTCATATTAATAGTTACTTAATCGATAGAAAGGAAATGATTTTCATTTTTATAATTTTTATTTTCTCTGTAGTATGTTCGTGAAATTGGTAAAGGTAATTTTGGTACTGTGCATCATGTTTTATACAAAGGTACTTATAATGTTGCATTAAAAACATTAAATATTCAAGATAAACATCCTAATAGAAGTTCTATATATGATAATGATGATGAATATATGTACGTAATACGGCAACAAGCAAGTGTAATGATACGCTTAGGGCATGCAAATCTTTTACGTATAATTGGTGTAACATTTTTTGAAAGCCAACAATCAAGTTGGATAACAGATTTTATGAGAAATGGTTCATTATTAGATTATTTTGAAAAAACATCGAGACATATTTTTAAAATCAAATTCATATTATGTATCAAAGCAATTAAATTATTTTGGAAGACAAATATATGAAGCAATGTTATATTTAGAGGAACGACATATTATCCATCAAAATTTAGCAGCAAGAAATTGTTTAATTGACGAAGATGATACACTTAAAGTTACTGATGTTGGTGTACCTCAGTAAATTATTTTCTTATAAATATATCAAATTAAAATGAAATATTTTAGTTTAACTGAAATTGATTCTCTCGTTCAGATGTTTGGAGTTATGTAAGAAGAATTTCATTCAAAATAAATATCATTTGATATTTTATATATAATAGGGTATAGCTCTTTGGGAAATTTATTCATTTGGTGAACGACTATTTGGTAATATGACTAATTATGCTTTACAAATTATTTTAAAAAATCCATCAGAAATTCTTAGTCGATATCTTCTAAAACCATGTCATTGTGGTTCAGTTGAAACATACACACATATTATTCTTCCTTGTCTAACATATAATGTTAAAATGCGATCACGTTTTCGTGTTTTAAAACAACGTATTTTAGATATTCTTGTGAACGATATATAATCATTAGATTTTAAGAGGATATTTCATATGAAAGATTAATTTATTTGTTTATAATAAAGATATAGATGATATACGCAGAAGTTTTAGATTAGATTATTTTCTGAAAAAATATTTCAAAATTGAATAGTCATATGAAACTATATCAATAGAATTTAATATTTAATGTATATCGTTAATCGAACATGTAGTAATTTCCAAAGAGAAGGAAAAGTTTTTTTTTCATCCTAGTTATTGAATGAAAGAATTTATACAAATAATAGTTGTGATGTGTATTATTCTGTCTATACATATAAATATGATTAACGAATATATTAAAGCTTACTGTAAATAACGAATAAAATTTGTGTATGTTCTATTTTTAAGCAATAACAAGTATAGTATTCTTATAAAAGAATAAATACAAAATAAAAGCTTTAGATTGTTTTATAATTAAGAAAAAGTTTTTCATTATGATAATGAATGAAACAAAAGTCGAATAATCATTTCTGATACAAATCGGTTACAATTCAATATACTAAGTACATGTGCATCAAACTAACAACAATTGTTTTGTTTATTTTTCATGTGTTACTAAGTTCAATCTGGTTATGTATAAGAGACGAGTTTGATTTTTTCATATTATGATTGTTATTGTATAATTGAATTTTAGCAGTAATTTTAAATCCTTCTTCTCTATTGATGTTATATTTTTCTCAAAACTTATTTATATTTACTCCATTTCTATGTTCTAAAGATGAAAACTTTTCACTTTACTTTGTATAACACAAATATTGACGTTATTTAGCATATTTATTTTTTTATTAATAATTATATATTTATATCAAGTAGATAGAGTACAATTATCCTAAGCACAATATAACTCTATGATTGATTTCACTAGGCAAATGTCTAATATTTATGTAGGATTGATAAAACTCAAGATCAATGATAACATATTATTGAACATATAGAATACTGTCATACACGATCAGTGCTTTATTTGTATTTATACATATTCTGATAGAACCATTTTCTTTTTCTTGTTTTCTTTTTAATCTATTATTATACTTATTTATAGATACTATCTGAATAAAAAAATAAAGATATTTTTATATTACTCATTTTATTTTACAAAAACAAAGAAAAAAAGAAAAGAATTTACAAAATATTCATTTCAAATATTCAGCTATTCTAATTAATATAATGTTGATGAATAGAAGCAGGAATACCAGTGATAGGTTGATAATAATTATTACCTATTGGAGTAAAATCAACTTCACGTTCAACATTAACTCGTCCTGTATATGGATTTCGATAAAGTTCAACATCTTGTGTATAGATTCCATAACCATAATTACCATAAGTTATAGTTCGATAATCTGTATTCCAACTATTCATTGGACTAATAGCGGCAATTGGTTGAGCAAACATTTTAATAATAATAGTAAAGTATAATCAATTTATGTTGGTGTATGAATGTATGAAAATGAGAAAGACATTTGTGAGTATTTATACTATATGATAATACGCACCTGTATAATGGTAATATAAATAAGAGCGTCATCATTGTACGTCATCAATGATGTCATAGTTATTTTATACTCCTATCAAGGATAAAAATAAATATTGTTAAGTGCGATTGAGTGGATTAAGAATATTCGTGAATATACTCTAAAATAGTACTATTTTTATTTTGAAAGTGGAACGAAAAAAAAATTTGTTTCTATGTTCAAAGATGGTTTACGATTTTCCATAAAATTATTTACGTAAATAAGAGAAATTCTCAGTTAAGTGTAAGACTATCGAGCATCTTAAATATCGGCTCCGAAATATATAATAGAATCAATCTTTTAATATTTAATAAATGATCAAATTTGTGATACAAATATTTAATTTTAACTTTATGAAATTATTTTCATTTTACGAATAACGAACAATAGAATTACGGCTGAATATTTTCAAATGAAATTATACAAGATGCCATTCCACAATTTCATGAGCAAGATTCACTTTAAATGAATTCAAAAATAAAAATTAATCATGAAAGACTTAATTGTACAAAACAAAATCTTAGAAATCCTTCCAAGTGTGTTGAAACTATTTTTCTAAGAAGTTCGAAACACTTTGAAGATATTAATAGTTAAATTCTAATCGATTTACAGTTGAGACAACATAAGAATTATCAAAACACATTATTAGAATAAATGTAATGAAAATAAAATAATTTTCAAGGATATTCACGAATATTCTTCGTCGACTCAATCACACTTAACAACATTTATTTTTATCCTTGATAGGAGTATAAAATAACTATGACATCATTGATGACGTACAGTGATGACGTTCTTATTTATATTACCATTATACAGGTGCGTATAATCATATAGTATAAATACTCACAAATGTCTTTCTCATTTTCATACATTCATACACCAACATAAATTGATTATACTTTACTATTATTATTAAAATGTTTGCTCAACCAATTGCCGCTATTAGTCCAATGAATAGTTGGAATACAGATTATCGAACTATAACTTATGGTAATTATGGTTATGGAATCTATACACAAGATGTTGAACTTTATCGGAATCCATATACAGGACGAGTTAATGTTGAACGTGAAGTTGATTTTACTCCAATAGGTAATAATTATTATCAACCTATCACTGGTATTCCTGCTTCTATTCATCAACATTATATTAATTAGAATAGCTGAATATTTGAAATGAATATTTTGTAAATTCTTTTCTTTTTTCTTCATGTTTTTGTAAAATAAAATGAATTTAATATAACGATAATATTGAATCAATATCTATATATTACGATTAATAAGTAACTTGGAGATCTTTGCTTGTTTTTTATCTATATTATCAGGAGCAAACAGTTATTCTTTTAATTTGATATTACAACTTGAGAAAAAGTCTGATGTAACCGATAATGTTATAGAGTAAAGTGAAAATGAAATATAACTTATTTGTAAGTGTGAATACATGTGGCTGATTATTTTAAATACGTGAATATTGATTACATCGATACAAAAAGTCAATGATTATAAGTAATATTTTTTTCGTAGTATCGAATTTTCTCATAAATATTTAGAGAGCTTGACCAAACGGGAAAATTAAAAATCATAATTTCATAATATGGGTTGACTGATTCTTTTTTTAACATATTTGACAAATTCTTTCTTAGTTTGATACGCTTTCTCAGTAAGTAATAAATAAATGATATACAAGATCTTATTTACTGTATCTGAGGATACAGTTGTAAATGACGGAAATCTTCATTATTGAATTATGCCAAAATCTTACTTAGCTAACGATCAAGTATGTGTAGACAAAACTAATACATCTATACTTTTTTTAAAAAAAATTTAGCTAGTTATTCGAGAATTTCGTATATATTTCAAATACTATGACTCTTAAAAATCATAGAAAAAAAAAATTTTTGTTGCGTCTATCGTCATAAAGAAAAACATTCGTATCCTTCTCTATATATTTACAATACATGGAAAAAAACGAAAGAGACAAAGCTTTACATATTATAAAACACACAATTTTAACAAAAGAAAGAATATGACGAACACATCTGCTCATTTTTATTCTCACTATGAGCTATATCGGGAATTTAGTAATTTTTATTCGGCTTCAATTCAGTTAGATAAATATTCTTGGGCAACTACTGAACATTATTTTCAAGCACAAAAATTAGTTTCAAATAAAAAGCATTATAAATAAATTTTAGGATTAGCTACTCCTCGAGAAGTACTTGATTATGTTTGAACTCATAAATCATTAGAATATTCCCCTTGGTAAAATCTTGAGGGTGGGCGTGGGTGTGGTTATTTCTTCGGCAAACTTCAACCACACCCACACCCACACATACCTATACTGACACCCATACCCTCCTCACCCACACTCACATTCACGCCCATCCATCCCAACACTTACATCCAGCTTTCTTGATAAATCTATTCGACGGCAATCGATTTGGTGAAGTTCATTTTCGGCGAATTTCTATTGACGAAGGCAGACTAAATGATTTCATCATCCCGACTTATTCCCACATCAATAAACAAATATTCTATGTCACCCCTTTTTTAAGGATTGCGTGAGGGTGTGGGTGGGTGTGGGTCTGAATGTTGGTATGGGTGTGGGTTTGGGTTTGGGTGGGTGTCAGGTGTGGGTGTCGGTTTGAGTGGGGTATGAATATCGGTTCGGGTGAGCGTGTGGGTGTGAATGTGATATAAATATGATACTTATACCCACACCCCGGATGGTATCGAAATATGATTATGCGACAATACGATTATTTCGTCGTAAAATGCGCCGCAACTACGATCATTTTAGCGCAATTGCGTCGCAACCGAAAACATGGGATGAAGTGAAAATTGCGAGCTTTATAAATTTCTTTTTACCCAAAGCTTTTTATTAAAAGTAACTGCCAGGATCGATGTTTTTGTTTTATTAATAAGAAAGTGGCAATGATTTGTTTCTTCTCCTATTCTTCTCTTTTTTCATCTATTGAATATATAATTCAGTTAGTTGTGATTTTTAGATAATTTTGTTTCTCTTCACAAACGCAATTGAAATTTCAGTCGATGACTATACATACTGAAAGAAAGTGCATTTCATGATTTTAAAAAAACAAATAAGAAAAGAATTATTTCACTTAGTAACTATACAGTTGGTCGCCTCTCATTCTATTATTTAACAACGCTTATATAACAAACGAAACGAAAACTAATAAAAGAAGAATATTCTTTACTTAATAATCCATACTATTTTATTTTACAATGGCGAAAATTTTGAGTTCAAGCTTTATATTTTTATTCTATGTGCTACTCTTAGTGTAAGTATTAATTATCAAGTTCTACATGTTATATACTTTTTTCTTTGTCTTCTTCAACGATAGAAACACATCAGAACAACAACCGCAAAGTAATTAATAATAATGACTATTATTTTTCTCTATTTTCTTCTTATCTATTTCTTAGTTAACTCAACAACAATAGCAACATGTAATTTCAATGCATGTAATTCTCAACGAATTGCATGTTCATCAAATGTTGACTGCGATTGTTTTTCATTATCATCCAACTCGAATATAGGAATATGTGCTGTAGCTACTCTCTCTTGTACAAGTGTTGTACGATGTAATATGGATAATGTAACTTGTTCAATCGACAGTACAATCTGTGTGAATAGTACACGATGTGGTCAACCAATATGCTATCCATTAGCTATGGCAAATAAACAAATTTGTCCACCAAAGACTGTTACGAGTAAAAAAAGATTTCTAATAACTATTTTAGTTTTATTTATTTGTTCTTCTTAAAACAGCTACAACTACAACATTACGAACAACAACTATAGGTAAGGCATTTTGTCTTGGAAATTTGAAAACGATTAGAACGAAAGTAATTACTTGATCTAGACTAAATAATTTCTATGTTTTAATAGTACATACAACAAGCACAACTAAATCTACAACAAAGAGTAAGCGTGATTTCATTATATTTTCTGTTTAAAATGTGTTTATTTTGTGGCTAACTTATCTCTTTTGATTTAGTTACAACAACAACTCAAAAGAGTACGACTACCACTAAAAAATTGACAACAACAACTACTAAGAAGTCTACAACTACTACTAAAATATCGACAACAGCATCGACATCAACAGGTAAAACATGCAGTATGCAGGCCTCGAAATCGGGCCATGTTTTGCTGGCCCGGCCCGGCCTACATCGGACTTTGAATATTGTAACTCCACCCGACCCATCTTGAAGATTTGGGTGTGAATGTGGGTTGGAAATCAAGTTGAGTATAACACCCACACCCACACCCTCAAGATCTATAGGAGTACTCGTTCGTAAATTTTTGAAATAGTTTTCTCTATAAATCATCTTAAGGGTGGTTGATGATCAATACTCTTTTGACTACACCCACACTCACACATCTCATTTATGTTGTCTTGATTGATGATATTATCAAGTGAACTATATAATCAGACATTAAGTACTGTCTTTATCTTTAGATTAATCTTTTATTTAATGTCTGGAATATTTGTACATGCTTATTTTTCTCTATGATAATGTTCATTACATAAGAAGATATGAGTAGGGAATTGATGAAAAATTATTGTTGTACTATTAAATGTAAGTAAAACATTTGATAAGATATAAAGCATCACTGAGAATAGAGTTGAGAATAAGTAAATAATCGAATTTGTGTGAACTAATAAAGAACTAACAATGATTTGATTGAGAGTTATCAGAAACTTCAAGGTTAATCACTCATTTTTTTACTAGTTTATGCTTTATATCAGTTCTAGCTATGGATGCAATATGGGGCTTTTCATGCCTATATATTGATCATAATAAAAATAAATGTTTTGAATAATTCACTACATTAATTATCATATTGAGAGAAGTATAAAAGAGTTGATGCAAAGTTCATATTTTTTATTCTATTGAATATCTCTCAAGCATAGCATGTAAAATTGATAGAGGATTGACAAACATATCATTCAGTGTAATTAGCGCAGTGATTAATTTGAAACAAGCATCTTTTATATATTTGATTGAGATAAAAGATGAAGTAGTAAATGTAAAAAACTGAAGCTGCCATAATGGTCTGTGAAGAGATTTTATACAATACGTTTGACTATTCTCGGTCTACATAAATTTGAGGTGATATGAAACAAACATGTCAAAGACTGTTGCTTTTAGACTAATGAAAAATACTGTAGAAGAATAATGAATGTTGATTGTTTGATTATCTAATGGTGTGTAGTCTAAGTATATAAAAAATATAACTTCTAGGATGGTTTTCTACTAGCAATATGACTAATGCACGATATATGCACACAGCATCTGTATTATCAAATGG